TCGGGGGGGGGGGAAGGGGAGGGTGCAGGGAGGGTGCAGGCAAGGGCCAGGCAAGGGCCAGGCAAGGGATCGGCCCGCCGATGGAGGCGCCGCTGACGCGAATGTCGACGAGGTCGACCACGTACGAGGACGAGCCCGAGTACGGCACCCACTCCGCCTTGAGGTCCGGGGGCACCGTTCCTCCGAGCACGAGCGCGCCGACCTCCTCGCTCAGGCAAATCGAAAAGACGTTCGGCGCGCGGGTCTGATCGCGGAGGTAGTCGAAGAGGCAGGGGCCGTAGCCCTGCCCCTGCGACATGCCGGTGATCCCGTCCGCCACCTGCGAGTAGAAGAGCCCCGACTCGTACGTCTGGCAGCCGAACGAGGCGCGCACAGCGCGGTTGCCGAGCTCCGTGCCGAACCAAAACGAGTCGTAGACGAGGTGGCCTCGGATGGAGGAGCCCTCGGTGTACGAGACCGAGTAGGCGCACTTGCCGCCGTCGCAGCTGCGGCACGTCGACATCCCGCGCGGTGGCCGCGAGCACACCACCGGCTCGGACGTCGACGACGCCTTTTCGGAGAAGCGCGCGCCCGAGACGGAGCCGTGCTTGTGAGAGCCGCAGTGCGGGCAGCCCTCGCACGGGAGCGCCGTGAGCGCCGAGCCCGTGTCGACGATCAGGTCGAACTGCCGCGACGGCGAGCCGAGGCAGACGGGCGCCGAAAAGTAGCCAAGCGTGTGCAGGTTGCCCGACATCTGCCACCCCGGAAGCAGGCTCATCCGGCGGCCGCGCCGGAGGGTCTGCTGCGGGTGCCGGGTGACGGGCACGAAGCTGAGCGGCGTCACCGCGTGCGGGTGCGCCGTCAAGTTGGACATAGCCTGTGGGAGCCTTCAAGGTGCCCGGCGCCGTCTACGGCCGTCTACGGCGTTTAATAAAAAGAATTTTCCGAACCCGGCTTCCATCCCCCCCTTGTGTGGTGGCGGCGTGCCGTCCTCCCATCCCTCCCTTGGGTTGTCTGTTTTCTTTCTTTCTTTCTTTATCCCCCCTTGGTTTGTCCGTTTTCTTTCTTTCTTTTTCCTGAGAGAGGGAGAAGCCGCGAGAGCAAGGGACCGGCAGGCGGCGGCGGCGTCGTCGCAGGACGAGGCAGACGTGAGACGAGAGCGACGCGACAGAGGAGGAAGCGACAGGAGGGAGAACGACGAGAGTGGGACGACCGCGAGAGGTGGCATGAAGGTTGCAGCGAAAATCGGCGAGGGACTGCGAAGGGAGTTAGAAAGAGGCGGACGCCCAAGGGTGGGCGACGGCTAGCGCACCACACCCCTCTCCTTAAAATCCCTGTGTGGTGGCGGCGTGCCGTCCTCCCATCCCTCCCTTGGGTTGTCCGTTTTCTTTCTTTCTTTCTTAAACGCTTTTTCCCCTGGGCACACAGGTTCCCACGCTGCTCATGGCGGCGTCGCCGCTGATCGGTCATTCGTTTCGCCGCCCGCTCCCCTTGCGACATGGCGGCGGCCCTTCGCTTTGCGCCGCTCTCACCTGGCAACCCTGTCTGCACGTCTCGCGCGCGCGTGAACAGGGCAAACCACCATAAACTACAGTCTGCAGGGGCTCCAGGCCCCAACCAAATGACGTGTGAGTGTTAGAGTTGTTTGTCCGCTTGCAAGCCCAGCGGTGATCTTCTGGTGATGCTGCGCTGTCGGCTGCGCTTGCCGGATGACTCCCGCACGACGCCAGCAGTCTTCCTGTGTGGTCGGCTGCGTCGCATCCTCGTCGTCGGTGGCTGGTGGCGCTTCGCGCTCTCGCCCCTCGCCCGAGCGCTCCATGCGCGCCGGCTGTTGGCCGAGGCCCCGACGATTTGCGGCGGACGGCCGAGTTTGATTGAGATCGTTCGCGGCTTCAGTCGGCGCTCCGGCACAGGAGACTTACAAGGGTGGATATAAGGACCTAAAAGGATCAGATAAAAGAAATCTACGTAGAAAGGCGAGCGTCGGAGGTCGTTGATGGTCTTACCCAGCATGCGCCGCTGTCTTGCGTCGCTCGTTTTGGCCGCATCTCTTCCTCTGTCCAACATCCTACTCGCCCGCCGCTTGGGATGGTGCGAACAATCCGTACTGAGATCATCATCGATGCATCCATCGGCAGCGTCTGGAAGGTGCGGGTCACGTCCACGCGCCGCTTCCTTGGCAGTCGCACAACTCACCTCTCGCCGCGCATCACCTCTCCCCGCAGCACCTCTCGCCGCGCATCACCTCTCGCCGCGCATCACCAACCGCCGCGCAAGCTTTAGGTAGTCAGCGACCTGCGAACGTGGGGCGAGTGGAACGCGTGGACCAAGTTTGAAGACGTCGATGAGAACCCGGCCGGGACGGATGCGAGGCTTCTCGCGTCCTTCGACGGCGACGGCACCTGGAAAGAATACGCGTGCCAGATTCTGGCCGTGGATCACGACCGCCACTTCCTAAATTGGGCCGGCGGCGTCCCTTGCGGCCTCTTCCACGGCAACCATTGGATCATTTTGACCCCCGAATCGGAGACGAGGACACGTATGGAGCACTATGAGGACTTCACCGGCCTCCTCCCTGCTCTGAATCTCGGGATGCCTTTCGCAAAGGTCGCGAGGAACTACGTGTACATCAACGAGGCAGTCAAGCGAGTCGTCGAGGCCCGCGCCCCAGACTAAGACGCAGCACCCGCTGCCTGTGCTCCAGCCTCCACCTGCTGCGTGCCTGCTGCGTGCTGCTGCTGGCGGCCGCATATGTGTGCAGTATCTCTCAGTCTGTCTGTTCATTGTTGTAGCGGTACACACGTGCTCAAAAAAGAGTGTTGACTACTTCATAATTTTTTCCTTTTTTCAAATCTCTCTCAGTCCCTCCAGCCGCGCGCTCGCGTCGAAGGGCAGCCCGCGCTGCTCTCGTGCTCGCCGCGCCGCCGCGCGCAGCTCCTCAAGGGAGGAGAAGGCGCCCCGCCGCGGGCTCGCCGCGACGATCGTGTTCCAGGGCCGGCGCGCGGGCGAAGGCACGCGGCACGCGCCGCCGGGGAAGGCGGCGCCGTACGCGGCGCAAGCCTCCTCGAGGCGCCGGTCGAGGTCCGCCTTGCCCGAGTGGAAGTTGTGGCAGACAACGCCGTGCGGAGCGAGGCTCGCGCGCACGTCGGCGAGGAAGGCGGCCGAGTAGAACGTCTCTGGGATGCGGTTGCTCCCGTCCGCGATGTCCACGCATACGAGGTCGTATGGCTCCCGCGCCGTCGCCGCCGCCGCCCTCCCGCGGAGCCACGCCGCGGCGTCGTCCACGTGCACAGCCACTCTGCCTATGGCGGAGCGACGCTGCCCGCGACTGGTGCGGCAAAAGCGCCGGGAGGGCTCAGCGCGCGCACGGCGCCGGCGGCCTGGGTCGAGGCCGAACGGTCCCTGCGCCGCCTCGGCGACGGTCGCGTCCAGCTCGACGGCGTCGACGAGTCGCGCCTAGCCAGCGACCCAAGGCAAGGGGCTCGGAACGCGGCTTCGGGAGCGCTGCCAGAGCGCGCGCGGGGGGGGCGGTGCGGCGGCCGCCTCAGGGCAGCAGCGGCCGAGGTAGGAGGGGAGGCTGCCGGCGCCCATACCGAGCACGAGGACCCGCTCGAGGCGCGGCACCTAAGGCGGTGGGCGCGCTGCTCCACCCGCCACGAGGAGGGAAAGGCGCGCTCGAGGCGGCGCACGTCCGCGAGCGCGCTCAGCGCGAGCGCCACCATCGACTTGAGGTACTCGGTCGGCATCGCATACGGCTGCGCGAGGCCGGAGCCGCCGTCGAGCCGCACCTACGCACCGCAGTCCAGCTGCCGCAGTCCGAGCGTCGTTGGGCTGCGTCTGCGTGGCGCGGTGCGTGCTGTACGCTTGCTTGCGTGCGCGTGCGGTGTGTGGATGTGCGCTGGTCTGGCTGCTGGAGCACCTCTCGCCTTGGACTGGACGCTCACGCGCTCCGTATCTCGCCCATATCTCGCCCATATCTCGCCTTGGACTGGACGCTCACGCGCTCGCTCGCGACAAAGACGAGGGAGCGCCAGCCGGAGGCATGCTCGTGCACCTGTTGGACGGGCGGTGGGCGTGTGGCGTGTGGCACGACTCATGTCACGCACGTGTGATGGACGTGTCCAGTGGGGACTTCGACGCGTCCGGTGCTCACCTCGATGCGCGTGGACGGGTCGACGTTGCTCGGCTGGCTGAAGACGGGCCGTCCCGCGAGGCTCTTGGCGGAAGCCCACGAGTCGGCTAGCCGCACGTCGGCGACATCGTCCTCGACGGGGGCTGGCTGCGCAGGAGCAGGCTGCGCGGGAGCAGGCTGCGCAGGAACAGGCTGCGCAGGAGCAGGCTGCGCAGGAGCGGGCGCCTGGTCGCGGGTCCGCTCCTCCGCCTCGGCGAGGAGGCGGAGCCACTCCGCCTTGCCTAGAGCCTTGCCTAGAGCCTTGCCCTCGTCGTCGAGCGCGGCGGCGCAGCAGCGCGGCGCCGCGTGCCTCTGCCCCCCACCCCCGCCTCCGCCTCCGCCTCCGCCTCGCCGCGCCCCGCGCCCCACCCCCTCGCTGCCCTCCGCCTCCGCCTCCGCCTCCGCCTCCGCCTCCGCCTCCGCCTCCGCCTCCGCCTCCGCCTCGCGACCGCGGCCGCCGAATCGGTACAAGTGCACCGGCGTCCCAGCCTGCCCCTCCGGCGTCCACGTCGTCTCCACCACCGCCGTCTCCACCGCCACCTGCGTGGACGCGTCGCGGACGCGTCGGTGGTCGCGTCGCGGGCTGTGTGTCATGGGCGGGCGCCGAAGGCTGGCGAGCGGCGGCGCGCACCGCCCTCGGCGCGGCGGACGCGTCGGCGCGACCGAGCGGTGCGGGGAAGGCGCGGAGCGACGCGACGCACTCGACCTGCGGAGGCGCATGCGCTGACTCAGCTGCGCGGCGTCCTCAGCAGCACGCACCCGCACCCATGACCCTCTCCAGCACGGGCAGGACGACCCGAGGTCGCGCGTTGTGTAAAGGGCGGAGCTCCTTCTTTGAGGGTGTGTCGCCCAGCTGAGGGCGCACACACCTCCGGCGCTGCGCTCAGCCGTCCCCACAGCTCGGAGAGGAGCTGGTCGTCCATGCAGAGGGAGGCGACGTACACCTCGAGGTGCAGAGATGTACATCGGGCGTGCATGCGGGGCGGCGGGGCGGCGGTGTGTCGTGCAGCGTGTGTTCGAAGCATCGCCTGGAATGCGATGGGACACTGCCAAACACGAGATCGTCTCGAGTGTGAGATGATGGCAGGGATGTTCATTACGCAGCTACGGATCTACATGCGTCAGGCCGCACAGGCCGCACTCGAGCATCGAGCCGAGCGTAAACTCGGGCTCGCCCGGCCGCCGCAGCAGCTCAGCCGCCGAGTCGTCGGCCGCCAGCCGGCCCCACGACCTCGTGGCGGCCGCGTGGCGCGTCGGCGAGAGCTCGACGCCGACCGAACGCTCGAGATACGGCAACTCGAGCCACGCCTGCGCCACGAGCGCTCCCGTGCCGGAGCCGAGGTCGGCGAACGAGCAGTGCCGGCCGCCGGAGTCGAGACCAAACGCGGCAAAGAGCTGGCGCGCACCGACGCGTGTCACCTCGCCGTAGGCGGATGAGCCGTGTCCGAGAGGTGGCGCCGCTGCGCCGGCCGGGAGGCCGTGGCGATCCACGAACGCCTCCTCGTCATCGTCGAGCACTGCGTCGAAGCGTCGCCAGTGGCTTGCGAGCAGGCGATCGATATGCGCAGGTGATGGAGCAGTGCGACGTGCATAGGCGACGGTGGAGAAGAGGGGTCCCAGCATCGCTTCCCGCTCCCCCCTGTTTTTGTACTTTTTTCTCTTCCCGACACCAGGGTTCCGCAAGATAGGGGGCCTGTCACCACTTTTCCTCTTTTTTGCCGTTACCTATTGCAGGGCCCTTTTGGCTTTTGGGCGAAACAAGACCAACCTACCTACCTATCTGGGGAGGGGCCAGCCAGTGGCGACACACCCCCTATCCGGGTTGGAGCCGGAACCAGGACGCTATCTATCTAGAGTGAAGAAGAAATTCGCCTCCTCCACGTCTAACGAAATCCACTAGCTTCTACAGAAGCACAACTCACTCTCGCTTGCCCAGCGTGGTGAGTACGCTCTGGACCGCGCTCTTGAACGCCGGGCTCGCCTTGAAGGCGTCCTGGATGGCCCTGTTTACGCTCTGCAGCGTCCCGTACACGGGCGACGGCTTGTACGGCTGCGCCTCGGGAAAGGGGAAGCCGTACCCGATCGCCCAAAACAGGCCAAACACCCCGCCGAGCCCGCCCGTGTTGCCCTCCTCCTTGTCCATCACGTAACCGATCGTGAACTTGGTCACCTCGCCTTGCTCATTGAATGTGATGCTGTGCGCCTGAACCGGAGACTCGACCGACTTGCCGGTCGCCGGCCGCCCCAGCACGGGGCCATCATTCTTCCCGAGGTACTTCACCGAGTACCACACGCGGTTCGGCTTGAACGGGCAGACGCGGAAGTGGTGGTAGTTGGAGCTCAGGCTCGGGAACGCGGTCTTGAGGTCGAACGATTTGAGCGAGTCGATGAAGAGGCCCTTGTCGTACGGGCCGACCACGGGTGCGACGAAGCGGAAGTCCTCGGCGAACCAGTCCGGGTTGCCACCGCTCCCGTCGGCGGTGCCTGCGAGCTGAGCCGCGGTGAACGCCTTTGCGAGGCTGACCAGCTCGTCCGGCGGTATCGGGAAGGTGGAGCTCGCGAGCATCGCCGCCTCGTCAGCCATGCCGCTCTCCGGTTCCGTGCCGAGAGCGGCGGCAAGGTCCGGCCGCAGTGTCGACGAAGCCGCGGCGGCCGGCGCAGTCATGCGCGGGACGCCAGCCCGCAGAGCGTGACTGCAGGCAGTCGAGAGGAGCAGCAGCAGCGCGATAAGAGCCATTGCTGGGCGTGAAGCGCAAGACACCTGTCGAGCGATACGGCCAGGAAGGAATCCACTCCAGCTGTGAACAGAGAGTTCGTAAACACGCGAGTAGGGGGGCTAGATTACACAGGCCAGGAATGCTCCTTTAACGCAAAAAAGAAAGTTCACACAAAAGAATTCATTCGCTGCACACCAACACGTGAGAAGATGCTAAAACTCACTCTCTGCACACCTGTCTCTCTCGGCTTCCTCCTCTCGGCCAGAGGCAGGCTCAGGCTCTAGGGTGATCTCGCTTTGGTGGCTGAAGGACCCGATGCGCGATGGTCCTGTCACATTCGCGTTCCGAGTCGTGGCACGTGGGGGTGAGAGTCGTGATTCTCGCACGCACAAACCAAAACGCACAAGAAAAAGATTGGCTTCTAAAAACGCACGCACACACCGACCGCGTCGAACTCATCGGCGCGGGCTCTCTCGGCCACGGGAGGACCGGCCCCAGCTTCGGCTGAGGGCTGACAAGCTGCCGAGCCCAAATCACTGCGAGACGTGATTTCTTGTTGGTCTTCAAAAATCTCTCTCACTCACACACACGTCCCAACTCCCCAGAAATCCCGAGGAGCCGTGCAGTGCTAGATAATGTTTGAGCTGTATGTATGTATGTAGAAAGATGAACAACAGTCAGGCTCGGACTGGACACCAACGCGGTATGGGTGGACGCGGGACAGATGTCAAGATGAAGAAATTTCGCACAAGAACCACGGCATCCGCGCCGCACCTGGTCTCTCTCGGCTGGCTACTCATGACCTCCGCCTCCGCCCAAGCCGTCGACGCGCGCTGCGCCGACCGCTGCGCAGCCCTATTCGCCGCTGTCTCCGCGTGTGAGCGCGAGCATGCTCCTGCCGCGTGCAAGCAGCCGTTCCAGGCGTGGCGCTCGCACTGCGTGACCAACTCGGCGTGCAATCCCTCTGGCCGGCAGATCGATCCGATCAAGGCGGAGCGGCGGTGCGCCGCGCTCGCCAAACGCGTCGCCGTCTGCGAAGCGAGTATCACCGGCCAGGCGCAGGCGTCTGTGACTGCCGACTGCCGGAAGCAGCGTAGCGACTATCAGAGGCTGTGCAGCAGTGTGGTGGTGCACGGGGAGGAGCCCGACGCGGCGGAGCGTTCGCGCGCCATCACCGAACGGTATCGCGAGGCGGCGGCAAAGCAGCCGCCGCAGCAGCCGCAGCACCGCGGAGGGCAGCTGATCGTACTCCTCGCCGACTGGCTCGCCGGCGGGACAGCGCCAGCGCGCGCGGCTGCCCTAGCGGGCGAGCACCCGGCGGCGGCCATCCTTACCCTCGCGGCGCTGAGTGCGTGCCTCGTGCTGCGAGACGGCTCGCTCGCCGTCGGCGCGCAGCGGCTGATGCAGGCGCACACCATACCACACTTGTGTTGCCCTTCTACTTCTCTGAGCCCAGCCGCACTGAACGTCGCCAGTCCCGCGAGCTTGAATCCCCTTCCGTGCGCTCGAAAGGTTCGCGTCTATGTGCAGGGCATCGTCGTTGGCAGCACCGTGTGTGTCATGGGCGTCGCGGAGGCGCTCGAGCTATCGAGGCGGCGAGGGAGGATGGAGCATGAAGAAGAGCACGTGGAGGGCGCGTCCTCGAGGTGACACACAGTGTAGCGTTTGCATCTCTGTGTGCGTGCCTCTTTTGCCGCGTTGAAGCCCGCGTTGAACAAAATACTATCACCGGGGACAGTGCCCCGCTGAGGGTCCTGCCCGCACGGGAGCGGCTCCAACGCGGCTTGCTATATACATAAGGTGCGTATACTGGGAGCTGTGATATATCTGTCTTCTGTGCCGATCTGTAAAGGGTCCGCCCGCAGGCGCATTTGTGTACCGAGGCGGTGCCCGGTGCCGAACCTGTCGGACCTTAAGACAGCATTGTAGATCCCTGGGCGAGGGTGGTGGCGTCCCCGTCGGGTCAGGGCTGAAGGCGGGGGAGACCAACCCGATACTCTCCGGCGTCCCGGGAGCGTGATTGACACCTCCCCCTGCGCCAACAGCCCCGTTGAGGTAGTTACTGTACTACAGAGTGGGGGGCGGGTTCCGCCGCGGCGTCGGTCCGCGGTCGTCCTCATCCAGAGACTCTGCCGCAGAGATGGCAGATACGACAACAACTCTAACACTCACACGTCATTTGGGGCCTGGAGCCCTGTTCACGCGCGCGCGAGACGTGCAGACAGGGTTGCCAGGTGAGAGCGAATGGCGCGGTTCACGCCTCGCACAACAGAGAGAGAGATGCGCTCTGCATGGTGGGACATAAAGGAGAGCGAGTACTTGGCGCTTGGGCGAGTAGGCCGTGCGGTCAACGCTGCCGCGCGCGACTTTGCGCGCGAGGCGGCGCAGCTTGAGAACGGCGGTGGGCGAGAGGCCGCCGCCGAACGTCTCGTGGAGCAGCAGGTTGAAGTTGTTGCGCTTGACAAAGATCGCGTCGTGGTAGAAACCGCGATGCGCCTTGACGTAGCCGTGGCCGGTCTCTTGTGGGAGAAGGGTTGGCCGGGCTGCCCGCGCGCCTTGCAGCTCATGTTCAGGCGGCGGGCCTTCTCTTCGGTGTTGCCAGAGGCGTAGGAGTGTCTCAGATACGCGTTCCATTCCCGCTGCGGTTCAAGCGCCACACACAGCGAGGAAAAAGAAAGAAAAATTTAAAGGGATGGGGGGAGGACAGGGTCCCCACCTGCACGAGAAGGATTTTGGAATTCTTTGTGCTGCGCCTTCTGATTTCTTTTCGGATTCCTGAAACGAACTCGACGCGTAAGTACGCAGACTGGGACGGACTGGCACACACCCGCGTAAGTAATGACTCGGAGCGCCCGCAGTCTGCCCCTGACCGCGCAGGCTGCCGCCTCGTTTACTTGCCCTGGCCCCTCGTCGCCACTCGACCGAGACCTCCTCGCCGCGGAGTGTGTAATCGGGACCTCGCTGCCCGCCCTGCTGTGCGCGCTGAAGCCGGGCACACCTTGCATGGCGCACCCGCACTTCCACCGCCGTCTTCAGGCGCGCGGCAGCGACAGCGGTAGGGGCTCTGGCCGAGAAGCGAGGGATCGCTCATCCCAATATTGCTTCCCGAGCTACGTTGCGCCAGTCGTGCCTCCTCGTCTTTAGGAGCGGAGGATGGCCGACGCGCGGGAAGCGGCGGAGGACTTTGGGTGGTCAGGCCAGAAGCGGACCCTCGTGGCTCTGTCTCGCCTGGAGGACGAGCTCCAAGAGCGCACGCGGAGGGCCGCGCTGCCAGCGGCGTTGCGAAAGACCAGGTCCGGCGCCGCCATCTGCCAGATGGGCCGGCGGCGTGAGGCGGTCATCGGAACGGGCCTCGACGTCGAGCGAATTGTTGCCGTCGACCGGTGGCGACTGCGGTCAGGTGCAGCCGTGGCAGGAGCCGCCCACAGGCTGCGCCTCGCTGAACAGCCTCGTCTTCGAGGTGGTCCGATGGAGAGAGAGAGTGCTGCCGTTCTCCCGCCCCTCGCACCCTCTTCCAAGCCACTCTCATCATCACAATCCAACCCGTCCCTGTCGCTGGCACCCAAGTGCCGCCGAATGGGTCCGCACTAGAGTGTCAATGTGTTCAAGTGCACAAGAAAACCGCGACTTCGGTGTTCAAAAGACACGAAACTTGTGTGTTGTGAAAAAACGGCGGCCGCTTCCGCCCCTTGGGGCCTTAGGCTCGGCCTGCCCTCGACACTGGCCGAGCGCTGACAATGCCACAAAAATCGGCAGACCAAGTGGCACCGCCCAGCATGCCCCGGCCCAAGGCTGCGTATGTCCGCAAGCAGTGCGTAGCCGCAGGCAGACAGGATGCGCTCCCAAAGGGAGAGGCAGCGCCCGAGGTCGCTCTGTGTGTCACAGGTGGAGGCCTTGTGCCACCAGCTGAGATGCTTGGCGTCTTCCGAGGCTTTGCGAGAAAGTCGCTTCCTCCGCCCGCGAGGCGGCGTGGCAACAAGAGCGCCCTCGACAACTTTGACGTTATCTCTGGCGCTTCCGGGGGTTACATCGCCGCAACAATGTACTGCTACTCGAAACTGGATCCTTCCGTCTTCCTCGACACTGCACGCGCCACTCGGCCCCGGGACATCACCCCCGCAGCGATGCACCACCTCGATCCCGACGTCGAGCACGGGCGGGGACTGTATGGATGGATGCTGACCTTCCCTGCAGCATGCTGTCCTCCTCCCGGAGGCTGCCCGTGGTACGTTCCCACCCTCTGCTGGGCCATCCCGATTGCTGCGTCGATCGGCACGCCCTTTCGTCTCCTCGGCTTTGGAAAGTGCGTCGGACCGGCCTGCTGGCCGTGGGCGGCTGGCGACCCGTCGTGGTGGGTTGAATTCATGTGGTACTTCTTCCTCCGACCCCTCGGCGTCGGGAGGGGCAAATTCACGGCAGCGAGCCAAGAGCAGGCCGCCGATCTCGCGGCGGCGGAAGGGGCGGCAGAATCGGACTACGTGTGGCCTCGTCCACAGGCGCCAATGCCGCTCGGGATTGTCACGATGGCTTCCCTGAGCAACATCCACCCCACCCGCTTCACCGGACCGCTGCTCGTCTGGGCGCTCAAGGCGTGGAATGCGGCGGTCTCCTTGGCTGCAATCTCGGCCACCGCCGATCCGGACGGAACGGGCGTTTCCGATCCTGACACAGAGTGGATCAGCTTCAACACCGAGTTGAGTCTCGAGTCCAACCGCCAAGACTCGCGTCGCATGGGACTAGCCGTTCGTACAGCCCTCAAAGAGCAGTGGGCCCCCGGCCAACCTGGCAATGCTCGCGGCGTCAGCCTCGTCCCTTGGGTCTTTACACCGGCCAACGCCTCGACGGCGTATACGCCCAGCCCTCCGCGTGACAGTGGCACGCCCGACTGCCGCGACCAGAGGATGCGCCTGCCGCCTCTGGCCGGGGAGAGCCTCTGTGGCTGCCTTTGTGGGTGCAAGCGATGCGAGGGTTGTCAGCGCACGACCCTCTTCGACGCCGTCACCGTCCCCGCGCAGAGATTTGTCCTCCCACCGAGGGCGACGCCGTGCGGGCATCTTCCTGGCGCGTCCCGCCTCTCGCCCGAGACCACCATCGCGATGGGCGGCGATGCGGTCGGGGCTCCCGGCGTCCTCTTCCCCGCGTGCTGCGAGTTTTCGGGGTGAAGACGGCGCCGCTGCACGCCGAGACCTGCCTGTTCACCGATGGCGGCGTGTTGGAGAACCTGGCCATCGCTCCCACGGTTGCCAAAGGAGCGCGCCGGATCGCCTCCGTCATGACAAATATGCCGTCCGATCTGTTTGAGCCTACGTGCCTCACGCCACAGGGCCCCCCGCGCCTCCGCGTACTCAAGATTCAGGGGCTGGCGGCTCTCTTTGGCTGTCTACCCAGGATCCCGACGAAGCAGACGTCTCAGCACCGCACTCCTAGCCTCTGGGCTGAGCTCTGCAAGCAATGCGCACGCTTTCTGCCGCGCGTCTGCGCGTTGGGCTGCAAAGATGTTCTCGAAGCCAGCCCCTTTTTCGTCATCAACCAAATCTTTTCCAACGACGTGGGCGACTATGACTGCGCGGCGGCGGCGGCGCTGCTGCCCGGCGTCGACCCGCGTGACTGCCGCCCCTTTGATCACCTGGTCATGCAATTCGAGCACAGAATGGCGCAGGGCCGGGCGATTGCGGGCACGCTGAAGGTGCGCACAGCAACCCATCCGATTCCCCTCGCGGCGACCCACAGCCCGATCCCTGCGCTTCGTAGGGGATCAAGGTGCTCGACAACCCATTCTACGGCACGAGGTCGTCGCAGGACACTGTAGACCTCACAGTGGTCCTGATGGCGGCGCCCACAAAGTGGATGCGCGAGATGAATGCCAACGAGCGGCTCAACCCCGAGGGGATCGACTTATTTGACCCTGAGCAGGGGGTTTTGCCCTACAGAGGCTTCCCGTACCGCCTCCTTCCCTTCCCCATCGCCTCGATGTCCAAGGAGACCATCAATCTTTGTGGGTATATGGGCGACTGGATCGTGGATGACGCTTGGGACCTCTTGCAATCTGCCTTCGAAATCGAGCGCGGGTCTTGAGGGCGAGATATCCGTCGGACGCCACGCAACTCGAAGAGACGTCGAGAAAAGAGGAAACACACATCTCTCTCTCTCTCTCATTCACCGTGAAACACAGCAAACCAATGAAAATTTAACGTGTGTGAACATGTGAGAGTCCATGAGTTGAGCTTATGCAGCGGCACCAATGGCTCGCGACGCCTCCCAGCCGCCCGTCAGCTAAAGGCACAACAAAGCACATGTGCGACATTCACGACAGCAGCAGGGAGCGGCGAGGCGACCCCTCGTTCCAAGCCTCGATGGCCCGCAGCAGCAAAACGGAGGAGCTGTCCTCGGACGCCTCCCAGAACATCATCCCAGCCAGACCAGCCGCCTGGCCAAAGCGAGCCTTGATGGCGATCGAATCGGGGTCGTCGTAGGTGATGAAGGTGGGCTGGCCGCCGAGGTAGCCTTGGAGATACGGCACTTTGGCGATGTCGGACCAGCCGCGAGTCAAGCCAGCGAATCGGTCCGAGGTGATCTCGTCGTACCGCAGGATGCCCGGCTGCTCCTTCCTGTCGGGTGGCTCCCAGTAGGTCCCCGGTCCGGGCGTAGCGCCGAAGCCGAACAGCTCAGTCGTGCCGTGCCACGAGCGGCCGTACGAGGGCATGCCCATAACGAGCTTGGAGGCTGGCACCACGGCGGTCCACTCGGCCACGCCCCACGAGATGTGGAAGTCGGGGTCTCCGGGATAGGCGGGATCGGGGTAGAGAGGCGCGAGGTGGCCAGTGAAGTCGTTCCAATCGCCATTATAATCATAGGTCATCAGGTAGATGCAATCGAGCACGTCGGCGAGCGCCGCCTTGGGCGCGATGCCCGTCACGGCCGGGCTCATCCCCATCGCGATCGACAGCTCCTTGTGCTCCGTCGGGTGCGCCACGTCCAGCGCCGCGCGCAGCATCTGCAGCAGCAACACGTAATTCTCCCAGTCGGCGGGGTCGACGCCGTTGCTATCCAACCCGCAGCAGACCGGGTACTCCCAATCGAGGTCCAGGCCGTCGAAGTCGGTCCGGTCTAGCAACGCGGCGGCCGAGCTGACGAGGGCCTGCCGCTTTACTTGGGTCTTTGCGCACTCGGAGAAGTGCGTCGACTTGGTCCACCCGCCGAGCGAGAGGATGAGGCGCAGCGTGTGGCCGAGGCTGGCTTGCTCCTCGCGCAGGGCGACAAAGGCGGCGATGTTGCCCCGCACCATGCGGCCGGCGGCGGTCTGCGAGAGCTGATAGTCGGCGTACTCATCGATGGATGCGGCCCGGCAGTCGGATGTCACCTCGTAGAATGCGTAGTGCATGTGCGTGAGCTTGTCGACGCGCACGTCACGAGGGTAAAAGCTGCGCCCGTACACAGCCCACTGCGCGTAATACTGCACAACGCGGGGCGGCGAGGGCGGCGAGGGCGGCGAGGGCGGCGAGGGCGGCGAGGGCGGCGAGGGCGGCGGAGGCGGCGCGTAGATTGTGGGTGGCGGCGACAGGGACGGCGAGGGTGGTGGAGGTGAAGGTGGTGGCGGTGCGCCCTCCCCGCCTCCACCGAGGCAGTCCTGGGTGCAGTGAAGGGCGGGGCAGTTGGGAGGATTGTGGTTGCAGTTGATGTCGCACCAAGCGTCGGTGTAGCCAGCATGATAGCCTGTGGACAGACACTGTCCCCCGCCACTTGCCGGCGGATGCGGCGGGGGAGGCGACGGATGCGGCGGGGGAGGCGACGGATGCGGCGGCGGCGACGGTGAGGGTGAGGCTAGGGAGGTGGGCGGCTGTGCTGCCGGTAAGCATTGGGCGCAGGCCGAGCAGCGTGTCCAGTTGCACTTTTTCGACCACTGCTGTGTCTTGGCGTCGCAAAAGGCCTCGCAATGCGGCGGCGGCGATGGTGAGGGTGAGGCTAGGGAGTTGGGCGGCTGTGCTGCCCGTGAGCATTGGGCGCAGCCCGAGCAGCCTGTCCAGTTGCACTTTTTCGACCACTGCTGGGTCTTGGCGTCGCAAAAGGCCTCGCAGACGGGCAGGCTGTCACATTGCGAGCAGCCGAGGCAGCCGTTCCACTTGCACTTGTCCAGCCACCCCTGGGTCTTCATGGCGCAAAATGGCTTGCACTCGGGCGGCAGCTCAGCCGGAGGCTGCATGGTGAGGGGTGGCAGCGGAGGGATCAGCGGAGGTGGTGCAAGGGACGACGGAGTGCACGCCACGCCCCAGTTGCACGCCCCATTGCTGTCAGTGCTGTCGTGGCAGTGCACAGCGCGATCGCACCAAGACGCTCCAGTGAGGTCGCAGCCGCACTCTGGATGCGCGCAGGCGGTGGTGCAGACATCACCTGTGCCTGTTGTCTGGGGTAGCGGCGGTGGGTTCGGCGAGGTGGGCGGTGGATGCGAGGTCGAGACCGAGGGCGGAGGAGGTAATGGAGCCTTGGTCTGAAAGATGCAGCTGTCAAATGGAGTGCCGCCACCGCAGGAGGAGCAGTCGCAGGAGCAGTCGTTCCGAACTGTCCCCGCCGGGTAGTCTGGAAGGTCGATGGCGCACGCTGCCGTCGCTGCACACGCCCCGCACCACTCTTGGCACGAAGCGGCGAAAGACGAGCACGCCTCCATCTCTCCAGAGCACAGCTCCGACGTCGGGCCGCAAGTTGCGCCTTGGCATGCCGCGGTCTCACCGCACTTGATCGGGTAGTCGCAGGATGACTCTGACCAACAAGCACGCCCCGTTGGACAGTCAATGTCGGTGGCGCAAGCGATGCAGTCGCCGCCCTGCCATGGGTTCTCACACCACCCACTTTTTGGCTGCGTGGGTGCCGGCGTCACAGGCATCTCCTTTGGCCCCGGAGAGTCACAGCCAACCCCTCCGGCGTAGCCCGCTGGCTCGATGCTGATGTCGGCGCAGTTCCAAAACGCCTCTGGGTAAGAGTCGGGCCGATTGCCCGTCTGATAGTACCACTGTAGGACGCAGCGCTCGCACGAGATGCCCACCGGCACCTTGAGGGCGATCATGTATGTGTTGCCGAACGCGGCGTCGTCAACGACGTACCGATCACGGTTGGCGTCTGGTGGGGTGCACGCGCCACCGCCATTGCAGCACGATCCGTGAGGAAACGTTGCGGTGAGTGCGGCGGCGGATGGGTCGCTGTGTCCGCCGCTGGAGGGGCACCGGACTGACGCTCTCACTGCCTGATAGTCCGTCACTCGCTCGTAGTCGATCGTGGAGGGGTCGATCTCGAGCACATGCTCGTTGAGTAGCTCCTGCGTGATGGGGACGCTCTTGTCTGGATCGTCCAAGACTGCGAGCCGGAACTCGAACCAGCCTGCGGGGCGGGTGAGCGGCGTGGGTGCAGCAAACGTGGGCAATCGGTGCACTGGGCGTAGAGGTTGGCAGCGCACCTCTGTGATGGGCAGTCAGCTCGATAGTCACCACCATCAAGCCACCGCTGACAAACGTGCCGCGTGGGTCCGTCGGGCCATACCGCGCTCCCGCGTTGAATCCGTTTGCAAGCGTCCCACCACAGAGGTCTCGCGAGTGCGGGCTCGCGTGCGCCGGGTTGAGGCCTCCGGAGTTGAGGCTCTGAGAGTTGCCAAACCCAGGTGCGTAGGAGCCCCCCGTCATTCCGACCCACCGCGTCCAGGCGTCGCCGTCGATGGTGTGGTCGCGCATCTGACGCGGCGCTGGGCATGACATCCGCCCATGTGCTCGGGCGGTAGGGGCGGAGGCCAGTAGGAGCGCGAGACGTCGCAGACACATCTTGTGGTCTTCTGCGGGTGCAAGGGACGTGCGCAAAAAGTTGGCGCTGGCTTACCTTATGAAAAAAGCGCTCGCCTAATTTGGCTGTCGGGGACGCACCTTTGAGAAAGAGAGCAGTAAGCTAGTTTTTCGTACAAGTTGAGGTTTCTGCCTTTTGGCGTTGAGCGCGTGTCCCCATCGTTTGTTGTCTGTCTGTCTGTCTGTCTGTGCATATGCTCTAGTCCCCAAGTGTGGGTGCATAGGTTCCTATGTAGGAAGGTAGGACGTGTGGATTTTTCAGTGTATGTGGCTCTTACGTACCTTCCCGTAGGAGGACTCTGCTGACAGGGTTTGCGATGAATGAGCGACCGAAGGGTTCTCGCAGGTTAGTGTTAGGTATATTGTTGGCAAATCAAGACACAGAGCTCACACAGAATCACAGCGGGAGGAAAGCGGCGAGTCGCAATTCCTGGGGTACCCGCAGTTTTCTTCCGCCCTCACGGCACCCTGGTGTCTCCCTCTGCTGTGGTGGCAAAGAACGCGCCCTCTTTGGGGCAACTGTTGTCAGAGCGGTATTTGCCGGTGCGGGCCGGTCTTTGCCGTAGTCTTTGCCTCCTTCGAGACGCAGGGTGGCGCGAGAAGCAGCGGCCACAATGGGCTGCGGGCACAGCAAATCATATGCACGCGAGTCTGAGTCAGCGCCGGCGCCGACCATTCACCAACGGCTGACGATTGCTGCCGAGGAGAGCGTGAAGCTCATCGACCCTCGCAAATCGAGCGCTGTCCCGCTCCTATTAAGTCTCCAGTCAGAGCCACTCGCCGACGCGATGGTTCGACGCTCGTCCGTCACCCGCAGATCGGCCGTCTCCCCGCCTCCGGTGGAGCGCTCGCCGTACGAGCTCGACGAGCAGGTCACAGCGGACGGCCGACACTGCTGGAGCGCCATCGCACCGAACGGCTTTGAGATCCGCGGCGAGAACTACCTTCGCGACCGGAAGAAGGTCCCGTCCGCGTGCGGCTCGCAGCTCTTGGCTGTGGAGCTCTTTCGAGCAAAGACTTTTTTTGCCAACGTGGCTGGCCGTCCCGGCGCCCCGACCTCGACGCTCCACGAGCGCTGCGAGTCGCCTCTCTCGAGGATCGTGGTGGTCGTGGTCGTCATCCCGACGGGGAAGTGGGTCGTGCACCTCGCCATGTGTGAAAGCCCACCCCCCTCCCCACTCTCCTCACAAAGACCCCGCCCAACCCACACCCTCCCCCTCCTCCAGCCCACCCCCTGCCCCGACGCGCAGGTACTTTGGCGTGCTGGAGACGCTGGAGGAGGAGTCGCCGGCCGCAGCCGCGCTCCTGGAGCGGTTCGCGCACGCAGCCGACGACTTCCGCAACGACCGCTTCAAGCTCATCCCGAGGCTCGTGCGGGCGCCCCTGACGCTGCGTCTCGCATGCCCGTCGCGTCCCGCCATCACGGCCAAGGGTGGCCGGGGCGTGCCGCAGCGCTACTTTTCTACGCCAGAGTACGTGGAGGTCGACATGGACATCAGCAAGGAGGCCATCGCCAACCGCGTGCTCGGGTTGGTGCGGCCGGTCTCCAAGCTGATTGTGGCGGACCTCGCCTTTGTGCTAGAGGGGCAGCGGCAAGAGGAGCTGCCGGAGGTGGTGCTCGGCGCGGCGCGGCTGTACAACCTCGACCTGTCCGAGGCCGCCGTGCCGCTGCTGGAGGAGGCGTAGCGGGGGGCGGGGCTGCGCGTCGGCGGGGCGCGTCACACACAAAGGGTCGCCAGCGCTCGAGACGCGGGGAGGAGAGTGGCCCACCGGAGAGCGGTCCGGAGAGAGAGATGTGCGGGGAGCTGCCCGCACTGGCGCACTGCCACACAGCAGACGCGAGACCACTTGAGAGAGGGACAAACGACAAGACCTCGTGCGCTCGTGGGTCGTGTCGCCGCTCGTGTCATACGGCTCTACGTTATACGCGCTACCGGGTCGCGAGTGGTCTCTCAATCCTGCCCTGGGCGCTGGGGACCTGGGGATAAAAAAAGGATTCGCATTTGATTTGATGTAGTGTGTGTTTTTCACAACAGGAGTTGTTTCACCAGCCTAGCAGCTCTGTTAATGGTACAAGTCAACACTGCATGTGATAGCTGATAGTTGTTGCATGCGGCGAGGGCGGACGACCCATCAACTGCGGCAGTCGAACTGGGCATCCCCAACGGGCAACGGCAACGCTGCGCGGACAAACCCGGACGCGGACCGGACTGGCTAAAATGCGGAGGAGCCCACGGGCCGTCGGAGTACGGAGAGACTCGCAGGAGCGTGCCGTAGCATCGTACGCCACGCGACCCTTGTCCCCTGCCGGGAGCCGCAACTACATGGTGTGACCTCTACCTGCTCCTATGCGCGCTGAGGGCGCAGCTCCTGCGCGGCGCCTCCCCCGCTGCTCCGACACCACGGCACTCAAGACATGCTCCCTGACACCTATGACGCGCGATCCGCGCGGCGCACGCCGCCGCGCGGCTACGGCGGCTCGGGGGGGATGAAGTAGTCGTCCGCAAAGAGCGTGTCGAAGGCGGCAGCGTTCCCCGCCCCCTTCTCCGCCGCCACCGGCTCCCCGGCAGCCTGCTGGTTGCGCGCCTCCGCCTCTGCGAGTGGATCGACAACGTCGCCGCCGTCGGCGTCGCCGCCGTCGAAGAGGGCGTCGACGAGCGTGGCGCGCTCCTCCTCCTCCCGCTCCGCCGCCGCCGCGCCGCTCGCCTCCCTCTTCCGTTCCCGCTCCTGCGACGGCGGACGTGCGGCGCGGGTCTAGGCACGGGTCTAGGCGCGAGTGGTTTGCCTCTGGGAGGCGGCGCGTGTGCGTGTGTGAGCGAGGGCCGGTGCGGAGGACGGCTGTGTGCGTGTCGGGGAGGGGCCGGTGGCTGCAGCCTCGACGGGGAGGGGGAGGGGGAGGGGGGAGAGGGCAGGGGTGGCACCCGTGAGTCGACTTTGTCTCCACCTGCTGCGGTCCGCCGCACCCCTTTGGCCTCAGGACAACCCCATCGCCGTCCCTCTCCTGGCGGGAGGAGCATCCGGAGAGCGTGTCGGCGGACCGTGTCGGCGGAGGGAGGGGAGAGGAGGGGTGCGGGATTGGTGGAAGTGGGCGCGGTGCGTGAGAGGTGTGTGAGGAGAGGGAAGGGAGGGTGCCTCGGAGGTGTTTCGGAAGGCCTTCCCACTGTCGAAGGTGTCTCGTTCGTGTCTCAGAGGTGTCTCAGAGGTGTCTCGGAAGCGTCCCAATTTCGGAGGTGTCGGACGTGTCTCGGCTGTAGAAGGAACAGACCTTTTCGAGGATCTCCAGGTTCTCATAGTCGACGTAGTTGATGCAGTTGACGGGACAGCACTCGATTGCCTCCGCGATCACCTGGCGGGGCGGGGAGGGGCGAGTAGCGCGGTGAGGAGAGATCGCCGGCGCACGCACGCCTTGCGACGCTCGCGCTCACCTCCGGGTCGTCTCTAATATAATATAATATATAATATGATATAATACGCTCGCGCTCGCCTCCGGGTCGTCTCCGCCCTGCAGAAAGGCGCGCGCCCGCCCAGCCTCCTCCTCCATGAAGAAGGTGTTTCGCGCCACGCCGGCGCAATAGGTGCAGCCGATGCAGTCCACCTCGTCTACGTACACGAATCGAAGCTGCACCAGGTCGCCGTCCTCGTCGCGATGCACTTTGAGGTGCGAGGAGACGGACTGGTCGTGCTCGGCGGCGTCCGCCGCCTCCTCGGCGCTGCCAAAGAGCGCGCCCATCAGCCGCGCGTTGGACTCGGCGTCCTCTCTGCTCACCATCTGCACGCGCCTCGAGCGCCGCCGCCCAGGCCGCCTCCCTCCGAGGCCGCCTCCGCCGCGAAGCCGGGGCCCCGGTCGGCGGCAGGTCACCGCCGCGATACAGCGCAGGAGCAGCGCGAGCAGAAGCAAGCGCGACCGCGGCCACATGACGTGCGCCCGCACAAGCGGGAGCCAATTTAGGCCTGGCGCAGTCGGAGGGTTGCTCTAACTGTGGAGGTGGTGGTGTGGTGTCTTGTCGCTCTCCCCGCGCCGCATCTTTGCGTGATGAAGAGAATTTCCCTTCCTACACGACTCGCCGTCCCCCCCTCGCGGTTTGGTTCGCCCGGACGGCCTTTGTTAGCCCGGACGGCCTTCTAGGGATAAAGATATCTCGCCGAGAAAGAAAAACATGCTTCCGACGCCGAGGACTTGATCGGCCGACGATCAGCAAAGCCCTCCTCTGCCCGCCATATATGCGGAGCTCAGCAGCTGCCCCGGCGCGCGCCATTGGCCGATCGCAGCTGGCGCGGAGAGGGTTCAGCACCCAGCCCAAGCACAAGGACGTCATTAAAAAGGCGTATGCCGCCGGCAAGGCGCCGCCGCCTGCCGTCTACCCCGACACAAAGGTCATCTGTGCGGGCATCACGGGTAAGACGGGCGCCTTCCACGTCAAGGGGGGGATCGACTACGGCTCCAATTATGTGCGACGCGTCCCGCGAAGCCCGAGCGACGCCCAACTTCTCTGCCCCCACGCACGCTCTCTTCCGCATCGCAAATCCCACGTGACGTATGCTCCGGGGGTGGGGCGGCTGTCGCTCCGCGTGCGTGGCCAAGCCCCAGCGCTCTCGGCGCCCACTCGATCGCCATCCCGCACCGGACAGGTCGGCGGCACGCACCCCAAGAAGGGCGGCACGAAGACAGACATGGACGCGCAGGGCTTTGAGCTGCCACTCTACACTACGATGGCAGAGGCCAAGAAGGAGACCGACTGCGATGCCGCAGTCCTCTTCGTGCGCTCCACGCCTCCCCCCTTCCCCCGCCGGGCGGCACCTCCCCGCACGACGCCCTCCCCCCTCCCGCCGCTGCCACCCACGCCCCTCTCCTGCTGCCCTCCTCTCCCTCCTCCTCTCCCTCCTCCTCTCCCTCCACCCGGTAGGTGCCTCCGCCCGGTGCGAAGGGCGCCATCATGGAGGCCATCGCGGCCGAGATCCCGCTGGTAGTCTGCATCACGGAGGGCGTGCCGCAGCATGACATGGTTCAGGTGAAGCGCGTCACGCCTCTCCAATCCTTCCGAGACATCGCCGAGACATCGCCGAGACATGCCGAGACATGCCGAGACATGCCGAGACATGCCGAGACATCGCCGAGTCACTCGTGAGACACCGCCGAGAAGCCTCCGGGATACGTCCGAGACACAGCCGAGACACCCCCGCGTCATGACGTGGTTCAGCGTGCCGCGCTCCGCAGCTGCATCGCCGCGCTCTTTCCCAGACCGCCCCCACCTCGCCTCGTCGCGCCCCTTCTGCGCAGGTAAAAAAAGCGCTGATGAGCCAGACGAAGACGCGGCTGATCGGGCCCAACTGCCCGGGCGCCACCTCGCGACGAGGGAGGCGGCGCGCCCCTCCGCCCCCTCCTCCCACCCCCGCCACCCGTGCCGCACAGGCATCATCAACCCGCAAGACGCCGCCGGAGGCTCGTGCAAGATTGGCATCATGCCCGGCTACATCCACAAGAAGGGGAAGATCGGGATCGTCTCGCGCTCGGGCACGCTGACGTACGAGGCGCGCGCCGCCCCGCGCCTCTCCCCGCCTCGCGCTGCGAGTAGCGCCGCGCGCCTCCTGCCTCGCTCCCGCGGGAGGGAGGGGGGGAGGGGGGGAAGGCATCGCCCCATGCCCCGCCAGCGCAAGAGGCCCCGCCAGCAGAGAGTCTGTCCGTCACCTTCCCCCTCCCCCCTCCCGACCCCACCTCGCCTGACCGGCCCCGTCACCTCGCCTCAGGCGGTGCACCAGACGACGGCGCTCCACGACGAGGTCGACCTCACCGAGGGGCTCGGCCAGTCGATGGTCATCGGCATCGGCGGCGACCCATTCAACGGAACAAACTTCCTCGACGCGCTCGAGTGCGCCACGCGGCTGATTAATAATCACGAATTAATAACCACAAACTTCCTCGATGCGCTCGAGTTACGCCACGCGGCGCCGAGCAGTGCGCGACGGCTCGCCCGAGGCGCTCATCCCGGCCTGCCGTGCTCCCGCAGGTACTTTTACGCCGACCCGGAGACGGAGGGCATCATCATGATCGGTGCGCGCGGAGATGCAGCGAGATGTAGCGAGATGTAGCGCGAGACGTAGCGCCGCGTCAGACTGCGAGCAGACTCCTTCCGTGGCTTGGAGAGGGCGGGCGGGAGACGCTCCCGCACCCGTGCCTCTGGCGAGCAGGCGAGATCGGAGGCGACGCGGAGGAGCAGGCGGCGGCGTTCATTCAGGAGGCGAACATGACGAACTTCAAGCCCGTCGTCAACTTCATCGCCGGCGCGTGTCTGCCGCCCCCGCCCCCGTCCCCCGTCCCCCGCCGCCTCGAGTCTTTCGACCGCCGTCCTTTTGGCCTCGATAGGCACCACGGCGCCGCCCGGCCGCCGGATGGGCCACGCGGGAGCGATCACGGCGGGCAACGCGGGCACGGCGAAGGGAAAGATCAAAGCGCTGACTCAGGCTGGCTGCAGGGTCTCCAAGTCGCCGGCCAGGCGGGGCCCGCGTGGTTGCGTCGCGTCTGCCAAGGATGGGTCAGACGGTGCTGGTGTGGCAGTAGGTTGGGCCACGTCATGGCACAGTTCTACCAGGAGAAAAAGGGGAACGGGAAGGTCTACCTCGACCCGGCGATGGTCTGGACCGTTGAGGATGCCGACAAGCTGTAGAGCGCGGGCTGTCGCGAGGACGGCACTAGAGGCGCGAGACCCTTGCCTCCCGCCCGCCGCCGCCGCCGCCGCTAGCCAGCCAGCCAGCCGCAATCCGCCGTCGCCGCTCCGGGTGCGCGTGTGCAGCCGTTCGCGCCAGCGGTGGGCGGCCACGTGCGTTTGGAGGGGGACGGCGGCGTGCGTAGGGATGGAGTCTCGGGCTTGGAGAGGGCATATGGGGCGCGCTTGCGTGAGGGGGCGAAGGGACTAAGGGCCTGCGGCCGGCGGAGGGGAGCGATCACACATGTCTTGCTTGGGACTTGGCTCGTGTCCTGTCCCTGTTCCTGGGGACGCGAGTTGTGCGTGAGAGCGCCGCGGGTTGGCGCGGCGGGCTTCTTTCACCGTGTGGCGTCCTCCGATCGCGAGGCCTGTCGTACACATTTGGCGGTGGAACGATCGCCCTATATACACGGGTGAACGGGACACGGCTTTTCAGAGACGAGCGCGACAACCAAATCCAAAAAATCGACCGCCCGCGCGACGGCGACGGGCGACGGGCGACGGCCGACGCGCAAAAGCGCATGCACACTTGCAGATGCGACCACAGGAGAAAAGTAGAGGTGGGGAGAGAGCGAGCGCTGACCTCCTCCGCCTCTCCGCTGCGTGTGTGTGATCGCCGCGCGCCGCCACCGCCCCGCCGCCCGGCCCGGGGGCAGTCCCGGAGTAAGGCCCGTCGTTAGTCCTCGCCCAAGTCTGCGCACAAATCGGTCGGAATGGCCTGAAAAACCACCTCTGAAAAAATTATGCCGAAAACCTAAAGTTTCACGGGAAGGGG